CCTTCCTTCCTTCCTTCCTTCCTTCCTTCCTTCCTTTCTTTCTTTCTTTCTTTCTTTCTTCTCTCTTCTTTTTTCAAGACAGGGTTTCTCTGTGTAGCTTTGGAGCCTGTCCTGGAATTCGCTTTGTAGCCCAGGCTGACCTCGAACTCACAGAGATCCGCCTGCCTCTGCCTCCTGAGTGCTGGGATCAAAGGTGTGCGCATCTCTATAGAGTCTGATGACAGCAGCAGCAAGTCTACTCTAGACTGCCAAGCAGAGGACAGAGTGTTTTAGGAGTTCGCGAGCGATGGAACCCAAACCAGATTTGCCGCAGCTGAGGGTAAGCTGAGAGTCTTATGAAGCTAGTCACAGAGGAGAAGGGGCATCCTGGAGCTGGGGGCTTAATAATGCCTTATTTGGGCAAACATAATGAATAGATGGTGAGCTAAAAATCAATATTGAGCCTTTTGGTTTCTGATAATGGTGAAATAACTTAGATCAGCCCAGCTTTCCTACCATTACAGTTATGTCTGAACAAAATATGAAAAATGACTTCTAAAGGCATGGAGGTGACCCTTGCCGAGGGAATCTAGAGAAAGGGTCACTTATCTGCTGCTGATTACAGCTGTCCAATATTCCTCTGCAAGCTCACTGACAGCTTTCCAGTCTTTCCCCAGCCCTTTCTTCCCGGCCAGCGCAACCCCAGGCTGTGTAAGCAGAGGCTAAGGGTTCCTTCTGCGCATCCTTCAGTTGTAGGGGACTAACCATGATCAGTCAAGTTAGTTTTCAACAATATATGACTTCTCTCCTGTCCCCAGGAGATGGGCCATTGTCGCTGTCACAGCCAGAGAAGGTTCTTCTGGCCTGCAGCAATGTAAGGACAGATGGTGTTCAGCACAGTATGGCCCCACAGTGAAGAATTTTCTGGTTCAACGTGCTAAATTTGGAGAAAGCCTGGGCTAAGTCAGTCCTGATTCTCCTAAGAAAACAAGATCATATTTTCTCTTAAGAAAACAAGAGGCAGATTAGCCTAGAGTGGTCAGGCAACCAAGGCTCTGACCAATAACATGTAGGCAGAAGTCTGCTAAACAAGGCTTCCAGGATCCATGTTCTTTCCAGAGAAAGAAAGATAGATTCAGATGGCTGCGAATTTGGTTCTTTGCTCTTTCTCATTCTCCTTCCTGTAATGGGGATGTGATACTGATGTCCAGAGCTGTGTCTGCCATGTTGGGGCCATGAGGTAACATTCTTAGGGAGGCCAGGTCAGGAAAGGAAGGGCTGGGCTTCACCTTAGGCCTCAATACAAATCTTGATCCACTTTCAACATTTATCATTAGGCTGAATGAAAGGGAAGCCATCCGGCCTGCAGCAGTCTCAGAAAACAAGCTGCCATGGATGTCACCGTGACAGCCATGAGCAACTTGTGCTGTGGCTCCCGGATTGGAGTCAGGACCTGAGGCCTCAGGCTCTGGTCCTTCCACGAAGCTGAGGAGGCTGTGGCCATTGACAACTGTGGGGGTGCCTTGCTGGGGACAACAGAGGTCTGCTTTAGAAAGAACTTGAAAAACTTGTCCCCAAGGTTCCAAGGAACAGGAGGAATGGGGAGAGCTAGGTGACACCACGTGGGTGGAGGCTTTAGTGACAGGGACAGGGCTGTCCTTGCAAGGGGGACAGTTACAGAATGACGGCTGAATATCTGCATCTTTATTGATTTGCAATGGGCATGGGCACACTTATTTAAGGGGCATTGCTTAGAGTTTTAGAGGGAGGCTCCAGGACCACTCTATGGGTTGTCACTGTGTAGCTGGGGCGGCACAAGAATGAGACATCTCAGGAGTGCCAGTCCCCGTTTTCAGGAGACAAGTGCAGCCTTAGGTCTGACCATCCAGACTGGGTGCCATTGGTGGTTTGTTCATTTATTGCCAAGACTTCTCAAGGGATAGCCTAAAAATATTCAGAAATGAAAGGTTCTGGTGGAGTCACCCCAATGCTGTAGGACATGGCTGGCAGTGC